GTGGTTGACAGCATCCCAAAAGACGACTATTACAAATCCTTTGAGGATTGGAAGAGGAGGCTGAAAATTTGTATAGAGGTTCAAGGAAACTATTTCGAAGGACTTGTGTGATTTATTTGTAAATTATTATGTACATTGTTGAATAAATAATAGACAATCAAAACTTTTCAACCACCCCACGTAGCTAAGTCTTAACTATATACATTTTTCAACACCAATTAATCGTTCCAGCATCTCGCTCCTTGGTTATTGGTGCTGTCGTACTCATTTGTTGGATCTGAATATAGCAGAGTCGACAAATTGCTTATCATAAAGGATTGTTCGTGTTCATGGAAAGGGCTCGGTGCTTCTTTTTTGAATTGCTAAGTAATCAGTGTATATATAAAATTAGCCGGACTTTGCAACTAAAAATTTAGAAAAATGTTTAGCACACTTTCCTAATTAATACAGATCATATTAGCGCACAAATAGCAAATATGGTAATCTGTCAAACGAAAGTGCAGACTGACTGAGGGGTTAAAAAATAAAAATAGTGTGGCGTACATATGACATGCGTTGTGTTACTGTTTCACACAGTCTAAGGAAAAACCCTAAGTTTTGCAGTCCAGAGTGTGAAGACAACAAGAGAGACCAAGTATTTGTGGCGGTCAAAGTTGTGTAACATTACAAATAAGAATATATACGAAAGAATGTGAATAGACTTAACAACAAGACCCCCACCTTTTAAAAACAATGCGAGGTCTGCTTCAAAGCGTTTTCTTGTCTTTTATCTTAACGGTAAGCAAGTTTAACAAGAAATAACAAACATGACATGTGTTAAGATATTTCGAATTGCTTTAATTAGGCAAGTTTGGTAAAAGCTCAAGTCCAAACAGGAGACGTTGCTTTTGGCATCACAGAGCATATGGTAAGAATAGTTAACCACTTCTCGTCATGATTTTCGCAAGTAATGTTATCATAGGAGAGGCTATTATTTTACTCCCATGCGTCTCTAATTCGATATCAAAGGTACGTGTGCGCGCCAAACCCGACAAATATAGTGAGTAAGTATCTTAAAAACTAGTCATCGCAATTTTCTGCATTCACACAACTGACATTTACTTTTTACAATTTCTCTTTAGGCTATATTATAACGACATACAACCAGACAGTCACATCAACAGCAAACTTTGGCAACACAGCATTTGTCTATTTTGGTCCTGACGTTCCACCTTGCACGCAAAGTTTTGTCTCGGTTGTTGTGAGTCCCACTGATTTTGCTAGAATCTCTAACAATCAAGTATTTTATGCTTGGGATGCACAATCATGGTTAGTAATATAATAGCGGGGAGGGATTTTTTGAACGTATTGATTAAGTGAGCGATACTGTGTGGACAATACTAATATGCTATTATTTTTCAACGCAAAGCATTACATCATGCGTAAATACATGTACCAAAACTAATCCTATACCCAACCCACAAACGCTTGCTTGGTGTCTTGTAGTAAGTAATCCCAATAATGGCATAATTCCTCTCAAAATTTCTTATGCCTTTGATAATAGTGCTTTTACCAGTAATACGGGAACTTCAAGCATTACTGTTACAAGCGCTACTACAAATGGCGTGAGTTCTTCCCCAACAACTGTTGGCGGGGCGGGAGCAGGCTCTTCTAGTGCTAGTGGTGGTTACACTGCTACGATAACTTTATCTTCAGGAGTTGAGAAAATTAGTTTGGATAGTAAGAGCATTTTAAACATTGGATTGGCGTGCATCGTTGTTATTATTCAAAGCTTATATTATTTGCTATAATTTTAAATTAATTAAAACATTGCATTGCGTTTTCCTTATGTACTTTATTGTTATTATTTAAAACTAACAATGACAAAATATAGTAATGTAGTTCAATAAATCCAAACATGCATTTTAAAAATGGGTCCTCTCTTTGATCCAACTAATTTTTTAAAAACTTAAAAATAAACCCTCCACCAAACCCCAGTTTTTCATTCTTTATTGCTATCCGTCTTTTTATCTTGCTTATAATGGTTATTATTAATATAAAATGTCATATCCACAACATAATCTTGCAGAAAGTTCTCCAATGCTTTCTGTCGTTTTTGCATGGTTTTAAATTTACAACGAAGTTTTTTCATTGTCCATTCTTCTTCGTTCTCGTCATCAGTGTCCCCTTCTGTATTGGCACTAATTATGCTTTTTTCTTTACTTCCACTGATTGAGTTTTCCTTTCCACTCTCTATATCCTTATCAATTGTGTATGTTGGTTTACTTTTTCCTCCTTTAAGAGCCGTACCCCTATCCGTAGCCCAATAAGCAATATTCGCTAATTGATCAATGACCGATTTGCGAAAACCAATGCGTTTTAACTGTGTACGTTGGACACAACCCCAAGGGTCTATGGCTCTATCACCTGTTAATGTTAAGGAAAAAACCAGAATTATAGTTATAAGTATTGTTTAATCAATCACAATTAAGAAATATAAATATAGATTTACTTACCAAAACATAGTCCGTAAATTGCCACTGATAAAGAATACAGACCTCCTAAGACGCTTAACACACTGAATAATGTCATATCACTAAACAATTAAAAAATAAGCAAATGATTTATGCATTTGTGGCAGAGTACACTTATCATCCTACTTACGATTTTTCTGTCTCGGTTTTGACCATATAGGAAGAAGGTTCCACGGAAACGCGTGCGTAGACGTTGTTATTGTTAACAATTGGGTTTGTAGCTGTAAACTTTTTAGTGAGAGTTGTATTTTATATTTTAAAGACGCTTACTATGTATGGGTAGGAAATACATACCGTATGTAACAGTCAGCATGGGCAATGTTGTAAAGTGAGCTAGCCCAAAGACGACGTTTAGTGCACTTTGAATAATAAACTTATGGATGGTCCACTCAATTTTGAAGACGTTTTGCTAAACAGAAAAAAAATTATAGACATTTTAGACTGTACATTATAATTTATTATTAATCAAATATTTTTAAATTTATTACCTGACTTTTACCAAGATTGTAGATACTTGCATAGACCGTAGAGTTGACATCACTTGTAACATGTATCGAACTACTTTGAGAAACAATGTTTGACTCTGGTTTCAAAGTTAGTATGACCAATATACGTTAAGTAATATTACTGGAATAAGTGTGCTCACCACTGTTAGATAAAATTGCCCACATTCCTGCATCTGCATTGGTTAAATAAAGTTCATCACTTATGTTAAATTCGAAATTTATTCTACGAACAACGCTGCGATTATAATGGTTGCCTGCAGGATCAAGAAACTTAATGTTTTGAGCAGTAAAGCTTGTTATCCACCCTGGTCTATCTGGTCTATTGATATTAAGCTTGGGGGAGCTTAGATAAGATTGGCAATCAGTTTGCGAACCATCTATAATACCAAAAATGTATAAATAAACAGAATATTCAATAAACATTAAATTTTGTTAAACACATATTATTACCATATTGCATCAACAAACATGAAGTTTTAAATTTGTACTTCGAAGCAAATATAATATCTGTAATAGAATATTATTAGCAAAATTTGTTTGTTTGTCGCATTCGTACCCCGTTTTAATATTACCTGGTAAAGGAAGTCCATCTATGTTGTCTTTCGAATAAATGAGTGTTTTTTCATTACGGCTTAACCTGTACAACATCCAACCTAAATAAGTAATTAAACATATATAAAAGAATAAGACGATAGATTTTTTCAAAAAATTAATTCTATCTGGTTCGCTCGGACGTTTATTCCATGTTAGCGTTTCCATAATAGTTTGAGAAAAAATTTTTTGTTTGGTTATTGAGGTTCAAATTTTATAAAGGTTGGATTGTTGTCATTGTGGAACATACTGTTGTTATTGTATAACCATATTGGTATCCATAAAAATAGATTTGATAAACAATTAGATAATCATCTCCATTTTTTATCATTTCCCATGGCTTAAGCAATTACGACTAATCTTTACGCCAACTAATCGAAAAAAATTACTGAGTCAGGGTTAGCTCAAGCGCAGGCAAAACCGTACGTTTGTCCAAATTCTGTTGATTATTACTTCTAACTCATGCCAATCATTATTTTACTTAACGGAGGCTATTCCTGTACATGGTTAGCTTTTTATGCTTAGAAAAAGTAACAACGTTTATCAAATTTTTGACGTTCGTATATGTAAGTGCGGTGCGATGTTGCAAAACATTAATATTACAAAATTTAAACCTTCATTGACAGCCGACATCTGCATTAAAATTAATGATAAAAGTACATGTATTATTTTAAATTTAACTACCGTATCCTCTCGTGAATAAGCACCCCCCTTTCGATTATATGAAAATGATCGGCAACCATCACGTAAATAATAAACTTTAGGGGGTTGTCTAACAGTAATCGCAGAACGAAGACTTTTAATAAAAATTTTATTATCACGTGTTATTATGTAATAAACTGTTTATGGGGGAAGGGTTATGTGGTAATCAGGGGGTGCTTATTCACGATAGGTGCTTATTTACGAGAGGATACGGTATGTTGTTTTGTATAATCTTTTATAATGTTTTTGTTTTTGTGTGTCCTTTATTAAGCACAGCTAAGGTGGACCTCTAGAGCTGTTTTTTCACATCATAAGTTAATACATGTTTGAGCCTAATAGGAAGCTATAGGAGATACATTATAATTATATTGAAAGCGTTATATTAGGAAGTCAAAGTATGGAAGATGGTGATACTGGTATAAAAGGGTTAGAGTCTAATGATATCAATAATTGATTTAGTAGGAGGCCAGGGGGGTTTTTTTCTTGTCTGGGTCGATAGTGACATAGACCGAAAAGACAGGATAAGCGAGATGAGGGTCTTTAGGATATCTTCTTGTGATGGAGTTGGTTTTCCTCCAAAAGTGTGATGAGTATATGCTTTCCATATGGTATATAGGGCTGCAGATTGTATTAGCCTCCCTGTTTGTTGGTGTGCTTCTGATGGGTGAGAGATTAGGAGCTTGATTGGTTTTCGAGTGTTGGTTGGGGTGAGAAAAGCAGCACATTCTTCTGCTTTTTCCCATACATGTTGTGCAGTGGGGCACTGTTCAAAGAGATGGGGAATTGTAATGGTTGTGTTTTTACACCATGGGCAGTTATCTCCATCTGGAGCATACAGGAGGACACTGTTTTATAATGTTTTTGTTTGAGACGCTAACACATAAACAATGTTCTCATATATTGACAAAATATAATCAACCTAGTTAATTCACAACGTTATTTCTACAACAAAATTAATCCCAATTCAATAATTTCTGCTAACCCAAAAATAGAGATAAACCAAGCACTTAATGCCTTATTTGAAGAAGAAGAGGGGTCTACGGGCGTTGAGACGGATGTAATAATAGGAGAACTTGGTGCATCACATGTTACTGTAATGTTGATGTAGTCAGGAGTAGTTTTCATATTACCAACTAATAAACACAAACCCCCAGAACTTAAATTGTTATAATCAGTATTATAGCAGCCTGATACACAATCGTCACATAATGCTGTCGTATTTGTGCAAATATCATCGATAAATTCAATGAACGGTATAACATTAATAAGAATACCCCCAGAACAGGATTGAGCATGAGAGCAAAATGACCGATTATCTAAAAAAGAGCCGAAGCCTAGTGTAGGAGTCAATGGTTGTTCAGAAACAATGACAAGATATCCTAGATGTGTGTGTGAATACGAGTGAGTTAAAGTTGGAGAGTACACGCTAAACACCTCAACTTACCAAGGAAAGTTGATTGTGGTGGACAAATGTACCATGTGTAGAGCGGAGAGAGAGTAATAGTGCCCGTATACGTATCATCACCATTTATCAAAATTATCTAATACACAAGCTTAATATTATTGGAGATGTACTAATAAAAGCGCAAAATTTTACATTATTTATCCATACCAATATAAACAGCACCAAAATACTCCAACTTAAACGCATGTTATTTTATTATAATTTTTTTTCGTAGGTACAGCCTCGCTGACGAGCTACACATTTGTTTTCGCTGTCTTATAGCTAATGGTTGAATAAGTTACGCCAAGTGCTTATAACGGTTGTCAGGGGGAAATTGCTTAAATGCACTTAATAAACAAACAAAAACCAGCAAAGGAATTTAAAGGTAGATTTGGAAGTAATAAAAACCTACTGTAAGCTACGGAAATTAGTACCAATGATATGGTTATCGTAAAATTTAAATTATGGCAAGGTTACAATTTACTCGATTATTCTAATTCTACAGTATAAATAAATACGAGGTCTTGCGTCAAATATATTTATGACAATTACAGTAGCGTACAGATACCCCTTGCAAATATTGCCAATAATAGACATTCGAATTGCGTAATGCTGTAGGACTTTTTGTGTTTATTTTCTTTCTCAAAAGTTAATTACTGTACTCAAACTTTCTGAAGATTATTTTGGCTTACTTTTCTCTTCAACTCCATTGCTTTATAAATTGGACGCCATTACTAATCCCACGGAAGTATAACGTGCGTTTTTATTTTCAAATTTATGTAAACAATTTGAACAACAGTTGTTCAGACCTAGCTATGAACATAATTATATAATTGGGTCTGACAAATTTTTACGTATCGTAAGTATTTATTATTTATATGCAATTTTTTATATAATAGTATCAAAAAATTGCATGTGTTAAAGTATATTTTGGCACAGTATTCAGATGCGTATCCTAGCTTCATTCACGATTCGAAGATTATACTGTACATTTAATATAATTAGCAGAGAAAAAAAACACTTCTTATTTTGCTTATGTTTGTAAACTACCGATGTCAATGCCCAATAAGATAAATGGTTTGGTAAAAATTAAACGTTAGAATTTAAAAACAAGACGGTTTTTTATGATAAGCTTTTACGTTTCCTACGTCAGTTTTGTGATCAGTAGTTAACATATAACTGTAATAGCGCTAGGAGTATATTCTTCGAATACATATGAGTTGTTATACTAGTTCTTGATAGCCCCAACCATAAAAATTAACTAACAATTTGCTTTAACCGATCGAGTTAGCGAGACATTTTTACATAGATACCTTATAATCGAAATTTAATTTAATGACAACAGTAAGGACGTCGTCGTTAAGTTATTGTCTAGCTTTTGCAAACTGCTTGTCTTGATAGCTTTAATGCTCTATATGCGCAAGTATGCAAACATAGAGGTTACAACAAGGTGTTATTGGTTTGTACCTATCTGCATTACGATGATCGCATATGATCTTGTGACTTAAATACAAACATTTTGGAGATCAGCTCGTGCAACATCACTATTAGAACCATCCAAAATTGATATACTGATATGATTGTTCAATCAAATTTGGTTTTTCAGTATTACGCAAAATAGAGATGCTGATCTACTTTGGCGTAATTCAGTAAGCTGAGTGTAAACAAATAAAAAAAGAGAGATCGACGGTGTTATTAGTAAACAGCGAACGAGTCGAATACAAGCCTGCTTCCTTTGCTAATACTTATCTCAGTTCTAAAAAAAAACGGCAACCTTTACTTTACCAGGTGATCTAGCAATAAACTAATCTTTATTCGAGATGACCGCATATAATAAAACAAATTTTTATTTTGTTTCGAAGACAAAGATAATCTGATAGCGGTCTCTGGTATAGTATTATTGTATTTGTCTACAATGTTTGTCCTTTCCAAGACCTGAGATCAACTAGAAGTACGTGGATGTATGTACAAAAAATATTAATTATCTGCATGAATAATAAAGGGTTTATTATCATATTCACAGTGCATTTGCTTCACTTTGATCGAAATTATGATTGGTTGTTGTTGATCTCAATAAAAATTTCCATAAAAATATTAATTAAAGTGATACAAATCTATCAGTTATTCTAAAAACTTTTTTGTTGACGATACGATAATCTGTCAGACCCCGAATAATATTTGTTATGACAATAATTATGTAATAAGATTCAGTAGCATAGTATAGGGATAAAAGTCTTGCCTTACACATCGAAAAACTTTAATTACACAAAATTGCATGTAACAATAAAAATTTTAACAAATGTTGTTTAGTTTTGAAAAAAAATTGATCAAAACTTTTTCCAAGGAGTTGTTTTTAGAGCCCTCAATAAAAATTGCTCTGTGGTCAGCAAGAAATGCCTTTCAAAAAAGTATTCGCTGAAAGCGTATAAGTTGTTATGTTACTTGTAAACATACAGCAAAAAATATAAATGTTGTATGTAAATTCCGTCACTATGTAAATCATGTCAAAGGTTTTACTGAGTTCAGACACCGTCAGTAAGGGACAATTTGTATTTATTACCGTTCTAACGTCACACTTTTGCTAGTATTAATAGACATAATGTCTTAGTTTTAATCTTGCATTGACTCTACTACAGCTTTTGCGTCGCACTATGCTCGGTCTCACTGTTATCAGCGTATCATTTAACTCACGGACTAAACCAGTTTTCTATTATTCACCAGAAGACATTAAAGTTCTGGAATCATTGTTACTATGTCTTGTAAGTGGGTCCGGTTTATTTCACTGACATTCATTTCATCGACAGTACATTTAGTCGACAGTCTTTTCGCCAACAGTTCATTTCGCCGATAGTATGTTTCTCCGACAGTTTCAACAGTACGTTTTGCCAACAGTCATTTCACCGACAGTGCAACCAATAAACAAAACTTTCACTGACCGTAGCTACAATCACATATATACGCATACTAAAGTTTACAATCACAATTTTTGCAATTTAAAAATCTGCAAAACACCCGTATTAGCACTTGTCGATCCAGTAGTCGTTAATATTGTAATTGAATTCGTCAAGAACAAAGAAATGAAACTTTTACTGACCATGCATACTAAATTCACAAAGATCAATAATAGTCACGGAACATGTTACGGTACAAGGTTTCGAAATTATAATAAATACACTAACGCTAACGCTACAACTGTAATAATAAGTATTAGTAATTAATATTGTAATTTTTTATTTCGTTTTCCCCGTCTAAGTGGTTTACATTTCTCTGTTTAAGTTCAATGCTTTCTTGTTTCCAAGAAATCTGTTACTCAAGTTTTTGTCTTTGTATCGGGATCGTTCTCTGCAGACTGGCAACCAAGAGCTTCTTGTATAATTTCACTATCGTTAAGTATTGCGTTCGCATTTTCCACATTGGCCACGACAATAAATTGTGTGGTTTACATAAATAGTAAAATAAATACGACGATATACTAACACTTGTAAAATAAATGTCTGAAATTACTACTAGCGTCCAATGGGTCAGACAATTTATTCTATTAATATTAATAAATTCCTGACTTATTGTACTTGGTAACATTATTTACAAAATAATTAATGAAAATAGTAAAAATCTGCTTAATCAACCCTCATCCCAATCAATCAATAAATAATTATAATAGCTTGCAGCGAAAAATCCTCCCACTTAAGCACATGATCCAAATAAAAGCTTTTCTTAAAAACATTTTGTTCTATTATCTTTCTCAGTATAAAAGCTCATACTAACAACATAATTCTGCAAAAAGTTTTCCAATGCTTGTTGTCTTTTTTCCAAAATTGCAACTTTGCTCTTGAGTTCTTCCATTGGATCTACTTCAATCTTCGTTTTTTCATCAATTGCTACGCTGACTGTGCTTTCCCCTGGACTACTTTCTATATCCTCGCTAGCTGAGTCAGCGACATTGCTTCTAGATGTGGCAGTTTTCTCACCCTGAGGGGGTTTAATCCATTCAGTCATATCAATATGCTTACCCTTCTTATCCTCCAATTCATTTCTGACAGATTTGGCCCGTAATTTCTGGATCAAACCCCATGGTTCGATGGACTTATCGCCTAAGAAACGAAAACAATCGTTACAAATTCCATTACGAATATAATTTTAAGAGAGAATAAATGTAAATTCACTTACCATACAATATTACGTAGAATGCCATAATTAAAGAATACATACCCCCTAAGGCACTTAATACATCGAGTAAAGTTAAATCACTAATAATTAACAAAAACGGAAATATTTTAGTGTTGTGTATCGCACGAGTACTCATATTTTACTTTTCTGTATTCAATCACAAATGTAGATAAGACATTCAACAAATGACTTACGACTTTTCTATTTCTGTATTAACTATATAGGAGGAAGGTTCGACAGAAGCACGTGCGTATATATTGTTACTAACACCAACGAGCGGAAATGAGGCTATAAATGTGTTAGGAGAGCGGATTAAAGACATGTAACTATAAATAGTGAATACGTACCGTATGTACTACTTAGCATAGGTAAGGTTACAAAATTAGGTCTTCCAATGAGAACATTCTGTAGACTTGGGATTATAAACTTACGGATAGTGCGTTCAATCTTGAAAACGTTGTGCTAAAAAGAATATTTAAAACCATGTAAACTATATAGTTGTATCACACATATTGTCAATATGTTCGAATTCGTTTTACCTGGCTCTTCCCAAGAGTGTAGAAGTTAGAATAGACTGTAGAGTTGATTTCGGCCTCTGAATATTTCAATCCGTTTGGTGAAACAGCTTGTGATTCTGTATTCATATGTATTAGATAATTCTGCTTAATACAAGTCAATAACCATTTACATCAAGAACACACATACCTGCATCAAATAAGTGTGCAGACATTTGAGCATCTCCGCCGGGTGGATAAAACTGATCTTTTAAAACGATTTGAAAATTTATCCGGCGAATTACCGTTTTATCATAATGATGACTTGCCGGTTCCGGGAAGATAAAGTCACGTGCTGAGAAGTTTACTATGTATGATTTCGTAGTGAGATCAAACATAGATGGACCGAGATAAGATTGACATTCGGACCTTGAAACTTGTCCATCTATTAGAATGTCATTAATAAATTCAGGTAATCCTCCAGCCCAATGTCGACTTTTTTGTCTACTTACCATACTGTATCAAGTTACATGAAATACTGAAGTTGTAAATAGAACTAAAGATAATATCTGCAATAATGTTAGCAATTTGCGTAAATTGTTTATATACCTTTATTGACATTTACCTGGTGATGGTAGCCCTTTAATATTGCCTCTCGAATAAATGAGACTCTTTTCAAAGCGAGAAAGCTCGGAACAAAGCCAACCAAGATAAGCGACCAGGCATGCCGAAAAAAATATGGTAGTAACAAACTTTAGCTTGCGAACCCACGTGGGTTCATTTTTACGTCTGCTACATTTAAATATATCCAGCACCATAAAGATATAAGCTCGTTAATGAATTCTAAACAACGATTCTCTAAGTCGGTTGGGAGGAAGTGAGCAACAAATGTTGCCAAGGAAAAAGGGTCAGCGGCAGGAATTCAAGTTCCTATTATACGCTGTCATTGTCCCATTGTTTTTTACCCAAAAAAGAACAATACATAACGCTGTAGTGCAAACCCCTGTTTAAGTTACCATATACAGAAGTTGTACTCGGGCTATTTGAAACTCGCATAAGTTAAATTAAAGTTGTATAATCGGTATCCAGCAACAATTCAGACATGTTAAACTTTATTTGCCTATCGTGTTTTCCTTCGACAGAATAAAACATCACATCCGAAAAAGACAATTGTGTATATTAGATGCGTTTATTCTATCATGACAAAAGTAAAGAAAGATATTAGTATAGTCAATCGAATAGTGATTATTCTTGCAACGAAAAATATCAAACTCTCCTATAGTCACGGTGTGGAGAAACAACGCAACTTTTGTTTAAAATGTATTTACAAGAGATTTTGACTATATAGAGACTTTTTTCTATACGTTTAAATAACAATCGGTTTCTCGTGCTTATAAAGGGTTTTTAATATCATGTGTTTATGGAAGAGGAGTTTCAAGAATATCAATTAAAGTAGTCTTTAACTTTGCCAAGAAATATCTACTTTCGAACAAATAACAAATTATTAAAAAAATGCAGAAATTTGTCAGAATTACTCAATAAAGAAGCTTTGCAAAACGGGGGATTGACTGTTTGTTTCTCTGCTGCCGTAATAATACGTTGTGAACAGACGGAGAAACAGAGAAACTAATATCGAAGGCTTATTTTAATAAAGTGATGGAGAGAGTGTAGTGTATATCGGATATTAACGCTAAGTACATTTTCATCGCATCTTCTCATGCACGTACTTTTCCTATTTTATAATTCCTTTATTCTTCATTCGTTCTGTCGGCACTTCATTTCCTAAACTGCTTTCGCACTAACCT